AACGAAACGGCCCCTTTAAAATGCAAAGCAGTTTCCAGGGAAGTCGCCCAAAGCTGCGGATCACTCCTTCGTAGTTTCTTCATCGCCTGTAGTTCTCTCCTTTCTTTGTCGTGGGCGCGTGACTGTGCAGGATCCCGCGGGGTTTTTGCGATGGCCTCCCGCGGTGGCCGAGACCCGCGGGACGATCAATCTCCTTCCAGTGACCTTAGGCTTATCTTGCAATCCTCTCGGCCGCGACGGGCGGAGGGGCGGGCGGAGGGGCGGGCGGAACGGGTCCTTAGGGCTGGGGGCGCGGAACGAGGGAGGCTGAAGGATAAAGGAAGTCATGCGTGGATGAGGAGGAGGAGGAAGGCGAGGCGAGAGAGAGGGAAGAGAAGGGAGAGAAGGAGAAGCGATTGGATTGAGAGGAGGGAGAGCAGAGAAAAGATGCATAAGAGAGAGATTATTTATAGAATACGCAGATGCTTTCGGGAACTCCTAACCGCAGCGCAAGGCTCTGCAGGTCAACAGTCTGGAGCCGGAGGGTCGTGGGGGAAATCCCTGTTGCGGAGTCACGCACTGGCCCCGGGGGAGCCATTGTCCTGCGGCTCAGTGAAGCTCCAACGCAGAATGAACTACTGGTGAGGAGCCCTCGCCTTTTTTCCCTCCGTTCCTGTGAGTAAGATGACGTGAGTAAATGTTATCATGGCGGGTACCGTAAGGCAGGGAGTTGCTGCACATCGGACAAGCAAGAAAGGTTTAATTAAACTTACTGTCCTGTGATTCATGTGTGTTTCGCGCGTGCTTCCGGAGCGAACGAAACTGAAGCTTTCTTATTCGCACATTTCTTGCTTCTTCGGTTTTGCCTGAGGGAAAGCAGCAGACTTTTATCGGCTTCTTAATTTCCTTTTCTTCGCCGATGATAAGATCCAGGAGAGAAAAACAGGAGTACCAGATTTCCTGCGCATTATGAGCGGTGCCTGAAGGTCGCGCCCAATATATGTCTCCTAAAACAGGATGATGTGGCAGGAGAATATCCAGAATATGTCATTAAGTTGTAAAACGAAATACAACTTGATATTCACTGGAAGGGAAGTTTATTTAATCCCTGTAATATATGTTTTTTTCCTGTGATTCCTTTGTATCATTTCTCTCCCTTTTTCCTCTCACCTCTCTCTCTTCATTCTATTAAGATAGCAAACTAGCATAAAGCTATATAAATAAAATAAATGGACAGGGAATAAGCAGAGAGAGAAAAAAGACAATGTTAAGATGACAAAGAACGTGGGATTTTAAAAAATGACGCAATAAGATAAACAGGTTTACAATTGTTTGACGAAGGTAAGGTGGAAAATCAC